GGCTAGCGCATGAATGAAATATTTAATTTTCGCAAAAAAAATTAAATTTCAGAAGGAGAATATGGCAATTATGAGCATTTTGACGAGGTTCGCATAAAGAGATTTTATCAAAGAGAATAGAATATACGTTAGAGTGGAATTTACTAGAAAAAAGTGAAAAACGGCCATTTTGTTGTACTGGTTCCATACCGCAGGTGTACTTCCCATATTTGTGCTATGTAACATTTTGGGCCCTGGAACATCATTTTATAGAAAATCTAAAGTTAATACTAAAAGAAACCCAAATTATGAAATAGGCTGGTTTCATAATTGACCAATGATCATTTCACTATGCCTTTCACTTTACATACGATGATTTTCCGTTATAACTATAAATCAAATGATGTTTTTTATTCACCTAATTCATTTTATAAAGTTTATTTGACAGCTTTAAAAAAGTCTAGGAAACATACTGTATTAATGCACTCTACTGCATATAATTTGTGTACATTTACATGATTTGTACACTTTGAACTCCCTTTCAGGCTGAAAGGGACTGCCAAATTTCATACCGAGGGATTGTCTAAATTCCACTCTAATATATATTCTATTCTCTTTGGATTTTATAGCTCGGACCAATTCTACCTTCTCATCTCTGTTGTGACTACATCCAGGGTCTTAACCAGAAGTTCTTTTTGTCTTCGAACATGCTAAAAAATAAAATGATAACCAGAAAACTCTGGATTAGGAACATGCTAAAAATACAATGATACCCAGAAAACTCTGGAATAGGAACATGCTAAAAATAAAATGATAACCAGAAAACTCTGGATTAGGAACATGCTAAAAATACAATGATACCCAGAAAACTCTGGAATAGGAACATGCTAAAAATACAATGATAAACAGAAAACTCTGGAATAGGAAGATGCTAAAAATACAATGATAAACAGAAAACTCTGGAATAGGAACATGCTAAAAATACAATGATAACCAGAAAACTCTGGAATAGGAAGATGACTTAGATTAAAGTAATGACATTAAATAGTCCAATGAACATGAGACACTGCCTTTGTTTAATGTTAACAGACCCTATTAACTTAATAAGTTACTAGTACAACTATTTGCTTTGTAACACCATTAAATACACCCAAGTATTGATGTGATGTCGTCTTCCTATTCCATAGTTTTCTGGTTCTCACTGTAGATTTTTTAAACGTACAGTGGGACCCCTATATCTGTGGAAGCGGAAGACGACCCCTAACGCAATATTCCTTGTTTTTTATGTTGTTGCATAATTGCTGTGTTTATTGGACTATTTAAATTTATTATAACTTAAACTTTCTTTCTCAATTGAAATCCAAATTGTATTTCTTATTTCTATTTTTATTGTTCTTAATAATATTGCATTTAATATAACAATTAAAGAAGTGATTAAAGCCTATAGAGGAAGCATTGATTTGGCATATATTAGAAAATGGCGAGTCCCAAATTGTTTACTTATCTAAAAAAAAATTCAAAATAATATATTTATTCACCTCGTCATCTTGTTTAATGTAATGCTTGTTAATATTCTGAAGAAGGTCGTAGTCACGCATTTTTCTAAAACATTTAATTTTTTTTTTTAAACTGTGTGTCAAACTTAAGATAATAATAAAAATGATTATCTTAGACTGGCAAGACTGACAAGTCATCTCTTTGAGATAAGATTTATTTAAAATATTTCAAAAAATGTGCAATATATAGAAATTAAGTTTTTATCACTAACTCAAATTTTCTAAATAATGGCGAAGACCTTTGATATTTCTATCAGAATCCATTGTTTGAAATATCAAAGGTCTACGACATTGGGCTGCATTCATATAGATATAAAGATTAGAAATCAGAATTTGTGGCAAAGACTCAATTCCTGTAAAAGATAATAATTTTGAATGTTTTTTTCTCTCTCTTTCACCTGCTAAGAATTTTTTAGCGAGTTATTAGTAAATTATTCCTGCATTAACTCTTCGAGATCGAGAATAGTTTTCTAAAGGTTTATTTAATGATTTGTGAGCAACCCATGTATATATTTATATATATATTTTTTTAAAGACCTAAAACTTCAAAGGAAAGGAAATATACGACTGAATGATAAATATGAAGAATAATCTTAATTCAATAAAGTTTAATTTTACTTTTAAAAATTTAAATTAATCCTATATACTTAATAAGTAAAAAAACATTCAACAGTCCTCTATAATTCCAGGACAATAGGATTAACGATAGATTGAACTAACGTTCGGTAGAACTAATGTTCGTTTGGAGGACTATAGTCCTTTGAACAAATACTCGTTTGTTCAAGTAAACTAATTTTTCAATTTTTAAAAATTACATTTAATTTATACATTTTTATACAAATAATTATATAATGTAATCTTAATTATTTAACAAATAAGTTAGGTTACAATTCTGCGCTGCGGCTAGGACAGGCTAGGTGGCTGAGCGCCGCAGCTAGGCTAGAGGGCTGGTGCTGCAGCAGCCGATCTCTTAATTTGATGTCTATTGTCAATGTGATAAAATATTTTTTTGATTATTCATTTGAATATAATAAATTTTTGTTTAATTGCTTTTATGTTCAAATGGACTAAAATATGTTTGTGAACAGTGCAATTAAACATTAGTTCAATCGTTATAGCATCGTACTTTTACCAAACCCGGTCTTGAATTTATCCAACTGTACAGTGTACACTATAGATACACTATAAGGCCGGTTTTGGAGGCTGAGGGGAATGTGCAATGATTGTGTGTGAAAGGTGGGGATAGCATCACTTCCAGATATTACAGCTGATTTGACTGAATTCCGGAGCGTCCCATATCATATTAGATTATCTCCAATCTTTAACACCTTAATACGCACATTTTACTCAAAAAATCTAGAATTTTCTGCAAAAACAATCATTAACGCCAAAATACGCACATAATACTAAAAAATCTACATTTTCTGCGAAAAAAAATGTTCTATTAGCCTTATTAAATTTTTCAAAATGATTCACTCTTCTTAAATTTTCTCATTTGTCCCCCAAATCGTAATTTAGACCCATTGACTCGGTCTAATTTGATGTGGGACACCCTGTAGTTGAAAAAACGTATTTACAGTTCTGGCTCTAGTCTAGACTGAAAGGGTTTATTCACTATTTGAAATACACATGTTTGATTCGTCCTTGATAAAACACACCAAGCTGACCATATACTATACTTTACACTGCAGTTCTTAACTCTCTATAGTCTGAGTCAGACTGTAGAAACGTATTTTAGGAGTATTCATAAACTAGAATGATAAAAGAGATTTCATTTTCTTTAAGATCTTAGATCAATGCGATTATTATGCACAAAACTTAAAAACTCATACTAGTCTTACATATGTATATAGTATAACACACAGTATTGTTAAAGGGGAGAAAAGATTTAAAAAAAAGTCAATGAAAACGATAAATTGTTTCATGGAGAGCTAGAGAGATAGAAAACGACATTCATTCCTCTGTTTTATGGTTAGCACTGTATTTTCATGAATATTATTTGTTTGTGTTTCTTATTTTGTCTGATTGATAAATGTAATCCATGCTGGGTGTTATATGAGCCGAAGAAATCTGATTCTTCAAAAACCACACGTTTTTAACATTACAATACTAACAGTTGAGTCCAGGGAGACCCAACTATCATGGGTTATTAGGCAATTTAAAAGATATGTAAACGCATCTTTTAGAAATCCTTAATTTCAAAATAGTTGCATGTTTTATTCACAACTAGGTACCATTTATTGAGGGTCAATTGAGAATACTTCTAGTCCCCCTGAGTTATCTGAGTACACCTCTGGATCTAAGCAATTATCAAAAAAAAGTTATTTGGATTCAGATTTCAAAACCTACTTTACTACAGGGTGTCCCAATAAACATGGTAATTTAGAAACGACTTGAATATCGTCTTTGATTTCCAATAATTGATAAATGGCATCAAAAAGAGATTGAAAGTCTAACAAGTTTACAAAATGTGGTCTACCTTCGCTGTATCTTTAAAATTGACGGAGATATTAAACATTTGAACATTTTTTTGATTTTTAATAAAATAGAATCTGGACAAATTCCTAATATCTCCGTCAATCTTGAAGGTAAGAAAATGGTAGACCACAATTTGGAAACCCCGAGACTCAAGTAGTTTTTGGTGTTAAATGTTTAAACTGTAATACTGCAAAATTTAGTTTACGAAATAATCCCGCATGGAAACAAAGACGTCATTTAATTCCCATGTTTATTGAGACACCCTGTATAGCGAACCAAATTATTTTATATCAACTCAAATCACGCCCTTCTCTAACTGCCTAGGTCAAAGGGATTAAAGCTTGTAAATCTCATGAAGGAGAACGAACCCTACAAGCCTGTATGAGCTGTATATTTTCACCTATCCTTGTACTAAGTGATGGGACACAGTTAATTTCGTTTTGAAGGGTTTGAACTTAAAAGACGTTCCAAAAAATATAAGAAGATCTAAACATTTCCAAATTGTTTCTTCTACACCAAAAATTTCCCTCCTATATTTTCTCTTGGGAAAAATTGCACATTTGTGGAATTATCAGTTGCCACTTGGGAAAAATAGCATCTAAAATATTACAATGGTTAATTAAAGTAAACTTATACAGAATGCAGTTTTAAAATATTGGAAGTTTACAGTATTTGCGTCAGGTGTTGTGCCAAGACAAAATATGTCAATAACGAACCGTTAGCTGCAAGGTTACACACAAAGGATGCGACTTCAGAGACGATTGTAGGGAAATTATACCGTCCGTTTCCCATTAAACATGATTCTTTGCAACAAGTTTATTATTACTTTCTATGCTAAATCATATAAAAAGACTATATTCAAGACAGAAGTCTTAATTCAACCTTGGGATTGCCATATTTTAAGAGTTTTAGGTCGTCTTTCCTGTCTCATCCATTGATATTTATCTGTAAATATTATATCTTGTTAGAAGATCTAAAATAATAAAATTATATTTTATGTATTTTATTGTTTGAAATTTGTTGTATGATTTGGGGAAATCTTTAACTTTAATCCGAGACCAAACTTAATGAATTGGACAGAGGTAGCTGAACTTCCTCTAGCCGGTTTAAAACTTAAATCTCCGTTTCAACTCCGCATGAATTGGAACCGGCGTAGGTAGTTCAACAACCTAGTTAAAATTCATTGAATTTGGTCTCCGTGCATTCATTTTATGTATCAATTGCCGTTTAGTTTAATAACTTTAAACATTGAAAATAAATTTATACATGAAAAATACACAACTATGTATTTACATTAAACCACAAATTCTGGTGAAATAGAAGATAATCTAAATATATTTCTTTAAATAAAAATAAAACATTTCATTATATTCTAAAAAAGTGTAAAAAGTGCAAACTATCATATAGAAGTAATAAAATTGTAATTTTTAAACTTAAAATACTGATTTCAAGTTTCATACATAAACGTAAACAAGACCAAACCTTGACTTACGTAAACTTAAATCAAAGAAATGACCATTTTTACTTAATTCTTAAATTTGAAATTTATCACCTTGAAACATACAGATTACAGATCCATTTACATAGAAAGTAAAAAGTATAGTAAAAAGTCTGTCCAAAACGCGATGGTCAAATGGACAGACAGCATTGGATTGTTCTGGTTCTGAGGGTACATCTATTACCAGTACAAGATTGTTCTGGTTCTCAGGGTACATCTATTACCAGTACAAGATGGGCTCCTTATTAAGAACAATGCGGTATTAAAAGGATTAAAAGCGTAATCTTAAGTGACCCTCTATGCAAAGATTGTACTGTCCAATTTACAACGGTATCCTTAAAAGCTTCATTTAATCAAGTGTAAATTAAATATCAATGTTTGTGTATATTTCGATCCAAAAGTTACTTGGGCATTTTTTGCATATAAGAAATTTCATAAGGGACACTTAACTGTATCTTTAAATAAAATTTTCACTTGATAGATTAAAAAGTGCAAAACTGTAAATTTTACAATTACAAAAGAGTTGGTGAATTAAAAAGGATTTACTGTTGATAAATATAAAAAATACTTCACAGTGCTTTATCACAAATGTTTGTGTGGAAACTAATTTTGTTTGTCTAGATAAAAACTGTTATCAGCATTATATGAAATGGTGTTTATTTACAGGGAAGTATAGAGTTAAAATAAATACAATCATGCTGTTACAGTCGTCGTCGCATTTATCAATACAAAAAACGACTTTAGATTTCAATTTTGATGTCTACCAAGCTTTCAAACAGCATAGATATGGAAATGAAGAAAAGCTGTCAATTAACAGCTTCTCTTTTGTTCTTGTTTACTTGTGATTTGAAAAAAGATTGTTACAAATAAAAACTAAATATAAAAGTCGTTTTCATAGTATTGATATAAATGCACGTATTTAATCTCCCCCCTTTTAAAAACAAATAACTTACGGATACATTTTTCAATGTTTTGCATGATCAGCAGTGTAAAGCAGAGTCCGGAATATTCAAGTTTTGTATGATCAGCAGCATACAGCAGAGTTCAGAATATTCAAAGTTTTATATTATCAGCAGCATAAAGCAGAGTCCGGAATATTCAAAGTTTTGTATGATCAGCAGGATAAGCAAAGTTCAGAATATTAAAAGTTTTATATCATCAGCAGCATAAAGTAGAGTCCGGAATATTCAAAGTTTTAAATGATCAGCCGTTTAAAGCAGAGTCCGGAATATTCAACGTTTTCTATGATCAGCAGCATAAAGCAGAGTCCGGAATATTCAAGTTAACATCACGAACTAGTTGCTTTATATTTTTGGTAGATTTGCTGCAGCACCTGAGTCCAGAATCCAGATAACCTTTCCATGCACAGGGTTCACCATTCTGGAAAAATAAACATATATAAAAAGTTGCCACACAGCACTCTTCCCTTCCTTTTATTTTAAAGGAAAAAAGAAAAAAAAAATATAAAACTTGTAATCTTCCACAATATAATGTTGATTCGGCAGATATGTGAATTGAGTTTACCTTGCGGGAAGGGACGGAGAAGGCTCCGCCTCGCCGAGTATTGTTTGCATCATATCCGCCTTCCCTGCTCCGGTTGCGGCGAATACACACAACTCCGCACTATTTACAACCTGGAAATATCTCAATTATCAAATCAACTCAACCTCAACCTTGACCTCACAGTATTATTTCTCTTACAGAGCGTCCCATATTATATTAGATTATCTCAAATCTTTAACACCAAAATAAACCCTTAATACTCGAAAAACTTATCATTTTCCGCAAGAAAATTCTTATATAAGCCTTGTGTTATTTTTCAAAATGATTCATTCTAATGAAATTTTCTAATTAGTTCCGAAAATCGTAATTTAGACCCGTTCTCGGTCTAATATGATGTGGGACACCCTGTATATACCTGTATAGTGTATATATATATGCTTGTATACACAAAATATCGAAACGGCTAAACCGATCGGGCCAAGTTTATTACCCCAGGGAAGATGTATGGTTGGTCAGACTTTAATAATGTCACATCATTCAAACAAACCAAAAAACGCGTAAAATTCTGCAATTTTTTATTTGAAATTACCGAGAAAAAAAGCTAATACAACCAGAGATGAAAACTTAATCTGAATATCTGTGAACCCTCTTGATTTTTGCTAGTCCGCTGTTTTTCTCTTATTTTGGGGTTTCCTACTTTATTCCGACTAATGAGGAGATCAAGTATTGATCTCGATATCCGCTCAGCTCTTAAGAAGCGACAATATTTAACCTCTGTCTGTAAAAACTAGTCTGTATTGCAGAAAAAAAACGAAGGAAATATGTAAAAAAAATATTTCTTACCGGTAGGGTTAATGTGACCCTAGCTGGAGGAGGTTTAGGAGAATCTACAATATGAGCGACAAGGCGACCATCCTCGGGTTCTTCTAGCAGAGGATGCTCAGGAAACAGAGAACAGGTGTGTCCATCAGGACCCGCCCCCAACAAAAGAAGATGAAGTTGAAGTGGTGTTCCCAAATGCTCTTGCAGCAGCGCTAAATAGTAAAATGAGTTTTTTGAAGAAAAAAAAATTTATATTTTCTTCAAAATATTGTCATTTGTTGCCAACATCTAATAGAGATTTAAAATTCGGTGATTGACCAAACCTCTGTAGAGTAAAAAAAAGTAGATGTTAGTTCCACATTTATTGAAAATATATTTCGGTCTGGGTTGACCCTCGTCAGTTCTAACGATATAATAACCATCAAAATCGATAAAAAAAAATAAAAAAATGTAAAAATCACAAGAAGATAAATAAACAAAAAAGATTATTCAAAATAAAAATTTAGGCTGTCAAATGGACATAGAGGAAACGAACTCAGATTATGAGATGGAAAAAAGATAATTTGCAAATATTCACTTTAAAAAAAATGTTTTAAGACAATTATTTTTCCTTGAGGGGGGAGGGGGGACGGCTTGTTTAATGAGGGGTATTTAAACCTTTTTAAGAATTGGACATAAAAAAATCTTTTTTTTCAAAAAAAACCATACTGAATTACAGTTAACAATTAAATAAAAACTAATTTTTTCTGTTCATTCCTCTGAGTTCAGTCATAAAATTTCTGATGTACTTCGATTTTCGTATTTCAAGTAAACTTCTTCCGTGGTCCCAAACCTTCTCTAGAACGCTAACTTTTAGATGGTAGAGTTCATGTCCAGGAAAGTTAAAATGTTCTCCTGTAGGCTGGTTTGTAAGGAGATTTATAATGTAACCAATATGTTCTCTCACTCTTTCATCTAAAGATCTTGTTGTCTGTCCTATATATTGTAGTTTACAGTGTTCACATGTAATACAGTAAACTACATTTCTGGTCTTACAGTTGAAAGTTCCATTAATCTCAATCTTCTTGCTGGTATTAGAGGATTGTATAACTGTTCCAGGCTCTATATAAGGACAAGTTGGGCAATTTAAACCACAAGGTTTCATACCAGGTATTATTAAGAGATATATAGAGTTTACAGCTCCCCCCCATTTCATGCTTGCTTTCTTTTGCAGGGTTTCAGCTGATACAAAACAAACTAGCGCCTCTAGCGTTAGAATTTTTTAAAAAATCTACAACTTCCTGATTTCGCTTTTACTTAAGTACACCTATACTCTATCTTTATAACTCTATTTAACAAATCGGCAAACTTGACGTTACCGGAAGTACCTTGGTAATGTTTAGCAGCCGCTTCCGGTTCTAGATCTGTATCAACCAATAGGAACTGAGATTCTTTTAAAGGCGCCACTTTCAGAAGTTCAGATCTAGAAAGTGAAATCAAATTTTTTTAGATACTAGAGGGGAAAGGGAGGATTCAAATTTACTCCACCTCCCCAAGTAGGGTTAACAATTAAGCTCATCATTATGTAAACGTGTAAAAGATGAGTATTCGTACCTGTAAAGACCCCAAGTACTATCAGCAGAGTCTGAAGGGACCAATCTTTCATCACAGAAGAAGATTTTCCAACTTAAATAACAAAAATAATGATAATAATAATAATACTAATAACAATCATAATAATACTAATAACAATAATAATAATAATTATAACAATAATAATAATAATTATAACAATAATACTACTACAATAATAATAACAACAATGTATTTTGACATTTTTTATATAACTTTTTTTTGTACAGGGTTGGTTACCCACCAAGGATGAAACTTTGTAGACTATAATGAATTTTTACTGTCTGTTATCATATATTCATAATTCTCTGAATCTGTAATTTCTTTGCCAGGTCATTAAAAAGCCATTCAAAGATACACTTAGGTGGCAAGAAGCGTCGACCCCCATTTCATGGAATGATGGGTTGTCTACTTATATTAATGATAATTTAAAGAGTTTCCGGTCGATTACACAGTCTCTTTCTTTGTGGGTGACCCTGTAAAAAAAGTATGTTTAAAAACTGGTAATACCTGGCCCAATCTGTTTGTATACTTGGTAGTCCCTGACAGAGGAACTTAGCTAATGAGCCCCCGGATACTCCTAGGTGAAAACTACCGTTCTTTTCAATACAATCCTAAACAATATATATATATATATATATCAGGCGTGCAACTAGACATTTGGATAGAGGGGGGCTAGGGGGAAATATTTCGCGCGAAATACGAAAAAAAT